GAAAAATTCAGGAAGCACTGTTATTTTTTTCAAATGTTTCTTACGTTTACATAAATCCTTTCACATGGCATAGTAATCCATTCTAAAACGTACTATCATTTATGTAGTCCAATACCGATGAATACTTGAACTGTTTTTGATATTTTATAAACAATGCTGAAATAAGGCCATCTGTACATCTTATTTCATTCATGAACAGAAACAGCCATAAATTTCCAGAAGTAAAACTGTTTGGTTAAAGGATCAATGCAGGTGGACATGGTGGTGCACATCTGTAATCCCAACAACTATGGAGGCAAAGGCAGGAGACTGAAAGTTCAAAGCCAGCCTCTGCAACTTAGAGAGACCCTAAGCAACTTAGCAAGACCCTGTCTCAAAATAATAAAAAGGGCCGGGGATGAAGCTAAGAGTCAAGTGTCCCTGGGTTCAATCCAGTTTAAATATATATATCAATGCAATTTTAATTTTGGTGAATATTACAAAGTGGCCCTCTATGACAACTGAACCCAGGGGCACTTAACCACTGAGCCATATCCCCAGCCCTTTTATGTGTGTATACACACACACACACACACACACACACAATGAAATGGGGGTCTTAGTAAATTGCTTAGGGTCTTGCTAAATTGCTGAGGCTGGCTTTCAACTCACAAGCCTCCTGCTTCAGCCTCCCAAGCAATTGAGATTACAGGTGTGTACCACTCTCAAGTGGTTTGGATTATTACTGTACACTACCTGTGCCCAGCTTGTCAACTTCTGAACCACTCTGTTTTCACTAGATGTTTTGAATACAGTGTGGGAAAAAAAATGAGGGGCTGGGGTTGTGGCTCAGTGGTAAATAGCTTGCCTAGCATACGGGAGGCACTGGGTTTCATTCTCAGCACCACATAAAAATAAAGGTCCATCAACAATAAAATATTTTTTAAAAAATTAAAATAAAATCAGATTTTGCTTGGTGACCCAAACTGAATCTTTTTATTAGGTTACCTAAAGCCATTTAAAATGTATTGCTAGAAAAAAAAATGGTTTATCTTAGTCTTACCACATTTTACCATTTGGTTTTATAAAATTTTGAAGTTTTTGCTGTTGTCTGTTGTCTTTATAATCTTTCTGTATTTTTGTTCTAATGTTTCTGATCTATCTTTGTAACCATAATTTTAAATAATTTTATTTAATACCATTAATTCTCCATTTCTTTTTCTTTTACGTCATAAAATTTCTTATTTGTTTTAATTAGTTATACATGACAGTAGAATACATTTATGCACTTTATATATATCATATGTAAATGGGGTATAATTTCTCATGTTTCTGATTGTACATGTTATAGAATCACATTGGTCATGCAGTCATCATATATGTATACAATGTCTTTTTCATTCTGCTATTGTTCCTAACTTCATATCCCCTCCTATCACTCCCCTCTATCTAATCTAAAGTAACTCTATTCTTCCCTATCGCCAACCCCCTTTTGTGAATTGGCATCCACATATCAGAGAAAACATTCATCCTTTGGTTTTGGGGGATTGGCTTATTTAGCTTAGCACGATACTCTCCAATTCCATCCATTTACTGGCAAGTGCCATAACTTCATTCTTCTTCAAAACTGAGTAATACTCCACTAAATATACCACATTTTCTTTATCCATTCATCTACTGAAAGGCACCTAGGTTGGTTCCATAGTTTAGCTATTATGAATTGAGCTGCTATAAACATTGATGTAATCCCCCATTTCTTTATACAACAACTATTAACTCCTTACTAGGAGCACTAATGAAATTAGCTTGAATAACCATTCTGCCCCTCTTGCATTACAGTCATACAATAATATTATCTTTCTTAATGTTTACCTTTGTACTGCTGAATATGTTTGTACTTTTGCCGATTTATCAGCTTTAAATAATGCCCTTTGACTCCCACCCTTTACAGATATGGCAATCCACAAACTTTCTCTGCTTCTGATTTTCTATCCTCTTCTCTTTTTACTAGTTGTATAACCAAATTCCTACATTACTGGGCATTTAGCATTAACATGTTATTCTTTCTTCTGTTTTGGTCTCAGGTGTGTATATACTTCCTCAATGCTCTCCA